TCTAAAAGTGTGGTGTTTTTAAGTCCTTTCTGATGTCTTAACTAGATGCTGAAATGTTAATGAGCTCTCTCCACTTTAGCTGGACTGGACCGGACCATGAATGTCCCTCAGCACTGATTTGTATCTAAAACTCTTTTGCATTCTCAATACTATTAACAGCCACTTTCTCATATGCTTTTCCAAGTAATCCGCAAAGCCTAGCCCTCAACCAACAATACCAAGGAACTCTCATACACCCCCGTGTTCAGCTTTCTCCTCTGGTGTCTTACCATATAGAATCTGGCTCTCTTGGCTGCCCTGAATTCTGTCGTCTGCCTCTTTTTCTCGGTGGGACACTTGCACTCTGCCTGGACTCTAGCTACCTAGGTTGGCGTCAGAAAATTGTATCCATGCAGAAAGCTGGGTGATCTTGGGGCTCTCCTTGTGAGTTTCCTGGTCTTAGCTATTGTGGTCTTCCCTGCTTGTTATTCAATGCCTGAAAAAGTTTTGTAACAATTACTGAGATTACCATAGCCAAGTGAAGATTAAACATTGTTATGCATATGCTATCTACTTCTTCAGACTGTTTTTGTATAAACTCTAAAACATCATAAAATTAAATGGGAAAAGTGTTTTTATCATAAGGGAAAAAAAGGAAAAATTGGGAAGAATTTTTGGCTTGAACTCACAAAGTGACTATATTTCTATATTTGTTTGCCTCGTCCTGTGGGGCAAGATGGTCTATAAATGTTCTATCTAGTGTGACTCATTGTCTTTTCAGTTGTCAGCCTCCTGTGGAAATCTAAGATTCCACCAGTCTAAGCAGGCCAGACTTACCAATTCTGTAACCTTTTCTTGATTTTTAATAGTATTTTTCCTTGTTAATGGTTCAGGCCTCTCTTTCTTGAAAGGTCCATGCTCCTTTCTAAATGCTAAATTCAGAATGTTGTAGAAGGAATGAGTGGCTATTTCCTCTGAGCATTTTGTTTGAATTAGAAATACCAATGTTCTTAAGGTGTCTTTTCAAGCTATAAGAGGAAAGCTGACACTCTTGACTGACTGGAGATTCTTCTGTGGTGGGTTGTTGTTTTTTGAACTCCCAAAGTATTGTTAGATCTGTGTCAGGATATGTCCTTTAAGAAGGGTTCAGGCAGGAGCCAGTTACACTGAGAACCAAGTACTCCTCGGTAGGCAACAGAGGGAAAGCCAGCAAAAGATAAGAGAAATTGGGCATTTTCATCAGGCCAGATGGTCAAACCGGAAGGTTGGGCCACCTGAACACATTGTGTTATTTTATTGGCCATTAAGCAAAGTAAAATTTTGCAGTAATATTTAACAACACGTTTTTTTTCTCCCTCATTTAAAATCATCAGGCCTGAAATGTGTCAAGTGAAAGTTGAACGCAGAATAAAGTCTGTGTTCAAGGAAGTGTCGCTGAGGGTTTTGAGGCAGCTGACACTGTCACTGAAGTTCTGTGGAAGCGAGATTAAAGAATTGATCAGTGGTTCCCCAGTTGATCAGATGAGTTAGATATATGTGAATTTTCTAGGGCTTGACTTTTTCTTCCTTTTTTTTTTTTGACTTCATCTCCAAGAAGGAGTCCATGGACGTTCCTCCCAAAACAGTTCTTGCTAGAGAGTTATTTAAAAAGAAATCATTCTAAGACTTCATAGCACATGGGACTGAAATAGAGCCCAAATCTCATCCCATGTGCCACGTGCCACCCCTGACCTAAGCTGCCATTGCTCTCTCTGCATGCACCGCATGGCCATCTTGGGATTTAAGTGCTGTGTCCTGGCTCTCCCTAAAAACCTTTCTGTGTCCTCAGCATAGGTTCTTGTGTTCTTTTCATGCTGATGTTCTCAAAGGGCTCGCTTCCAAGAGGATGCTATGTATTGGCTTCAGAACCACTGGGAAATGTCAAGAGGGCTCTAAGAATCTGATGTCATCAGTGTTGCCTGCTGCTCTCCACACAGTGTGTTTTGATCTTTCTTTCTTCCAGGTCCGCTGCTTCTCAGCTGCCCCATTTACTTTTTCCAGTACTGCATGGGTCTGCAGCAGCTCATCATTTCAGTTGCTTTCATCTTCAAAGTGATTCCTTAATCACTTTTAAGTGGCTTCAGGTACTAACTTTACATGAACTTCTAATAAGTATAAAAGAATGGTACATTTTCCTTTTTATAGGCTTCCAGTTTATTCAGAAATTTCAAGCTCTACCCAAAACCCAGGAGACTCCAAGTGCCAAATTGTCAAATGAAAGAATTTTCTTGAAGTTTCAGCCAATTCTTCCCCCAAAATATAGGAGGACTGAATATCTCTGAGTTTAGAATCTGGTGAAACTTTCACCTAGGTACCTCAGTCACAGGCTGTCTCCCTACCACAACATCCTCATCAGTGGAATTCTGGGTTGAACAGAGAATAAGGAAATGAATGCCAAACTATTAATTTCATGTGCCCTGTTGAAATGCGGAAGCTGATTATCCATACTGATGCCATCGTCGCTGACTAAAGTTTCTATACAAGTTCAGTAAGCATTTTGATGACAGCTAGGCAGTGAGAGACGTGCTAGGGACACCAAGCTGAATGAGATGATGCCCCTGCCTGTAAGGAGCGCACATGGAAGTCAGTGGTCCAAACAGTAAGAGTCTGAAACTGTTTTTGATTAGGTCCTTTTCACTCTACAGGAAATAGGAATCTCCAGACAGGAAAAATCTTTGCTAGACAACACTATTTTTGTACCGCCGGATGCTTTATACCTTCCCACCTTCATTTCAGGAGCTCCCTGGCCCAAACCTGATTTGCCACATCTGTCCCTCAGATGTGGGGTTTTCATTTGCCCTAGCTCAATTTTCAGTAGTTACACTGAACACATCTTCGCCTTCTTATGTTCTACCTGCATTCTGTTAACTGACCACTCTCCTCAAAGCAGAAAATTGTCTTTGCTTTCTTAGAAAATGGAGATCAACCAAGGATGCTCCAAATCATTTTAAGATTTTGCAGGCTATGTGTTTAAGGAAAGCAATGCAACTTAAGATATATGAGTGTCTTATCCAGTCACTGGTGCTAGGCACTAGAGTGCATGTGGAAGTGAATTTCCCATGAATCTCGTGAGGCTTAAGCCTCAGAGTCCTGCACTCCATGGCTTTGGGAGGGATCCTAATAATGTCTTATAGTCATTTTGTATTCTCTATAAAATAGGCTTCCCAAATTGTGCATGCTTCTGATCCCACAAAACCTGAATCTGTGTTTATGTTTTAAAATAACAAGTCAATAAGACATAGCCTCTGTCCTTAAAGAGCTTAATTTTAACAAGTGAAAGAAGAAAAATAAATGCGACCAAATACAAGATATTTTCCCATTGACATTGTTTGTGTTCAATTTTGATTTATAAATACTTAGAGACATGGTTTAAATGATCAATAACTTATTTCTTAATTTAACTATAACATACATTTAAAGTAAATGTTCTCTAATACATTGATCTGGAAATATTACTTTTTCTACACTCAAATTTTACAGAACAAGTTTATTCAAACTTTTCATATGCAACTTTGACGTCAGTGTCTTAATCATCACTAGGCTCCCTTTTTGAATCATCTGACAAAGTTTTCTTATACACCATATTCACGGCTGACTAAGTTGTTTCAATGATAGCACCTTTTGATTTCAGGCATAGTTCTGTCACTGGAAATTTTATCCTATGCCACTAGAACTCACTAGCATAAGAATATGTTTCTCATTTATCCTATATATATTTGAGACTCCTGCAGCTTATAGTGACTTTGTATTTATTTTAAAATGACTTTTAACTTTTTTAATAATGATATCCATCATTTGTAATGGTGAAGTCTTTACACCCAGAAATACTTACTAAAGCTGTGCTTAATTCCTACTGCTGTCAGATGAAATTATCTAGCACTGATTAAGGTTGTTTCAGGTTAATACAGTTATTCCCAGTTCTAGCCGTACATTGGAATCACCTAGAGTGTATTTAAAAACAAAACACGGATGCCTGGGTACACTCCCAGAGATTCTGATTTAATGATCTGGGATGCCGGCCAGGCAGTGGAATATTTTTAATTCTCTAGGTGATCCCATTGTGCAACCAAGGTTGAGATCCACTGTCTTCCCCAAGCAATCCTTTATTATTCAAAATAAAATGACTGGGAGAAGGACAGGTGTCTTAACATGAGAGACATCATAAGGACTCAAATATGAAATAACTGCCTCTTTTCTAAGTAATAATTTAGAGAAATTTAAATGTCATATACTTAAGTACATGTGTATAATTTATAAGTATATATATGCAATTACTTTGTAATATAAACTTTTCTATTTCAAAAGTTAGACTTGCTCACTGTGTACGATTTAGAAAATATCAGACTTTGTGTATCATTTGAGGGGTAAAGACATAAAGAACTCAGCAATGACTCTGGGAGAAACCAACATCAATGGATTCACCTGAATAAAGAGTGAGAATTTTTGTTAGCAGATGTAGAAAAGGAAGAAGGTGTGCCAAAGAAAGAAATTGAAAATGTAATACCTCAGGGTCTTCAAAAGTGTGGTATATTTGAGGTGGCAGTAAGAAAATAAAAATATTTTCTTATGGGTAAAGCCATGTGTCTGCCTACTGGAGATGACCTTCAAGATTTCCTGTTTGCTAGGTTTCAGCATGGCAGGATAGACTCACATCTGAAAATGACTATACGGTTGTTGAGGGTGCTATTTACTACTTAACCCTACAATTTCTTGACTGAGCAGGTTTGAGCTCATGTGTACTGTCTTCCTTTGGCCGTTGGGATATTTGACATTCTCCTCTTTCTGCCCCTTTGTTTTGGACCAACTGGCTGCAAGATGATAAAAGCAGGAGCTGATGATCCTAAATACCTAAACTGAGAAAGTCACATCAAGCTTAGTCACTGCTAATCTGACAGCAGATGTTTCTGGTTGAAATTCATTGAGAAAGAAGGAAAAAAGAAAACAAATGCTCTGTAAGATCCATGTATTGATTTTCTTTATAGGGCATAGAGACAAGAAATGAAATAAGGATAAAAGTGGATGTCGCTCATGATGAATCCTGGTTTCCAACCCAATTGGCTTTTTCACAGAACAAGTGATAAAAAGGGCAGAATTCAATCTTTGAAGAGGTAAGAGCCTGTAATAGAAAGGTAATGAATGTTTGTAATGCATTTTCCATTTTTAAGTCATTTTTCAGTCTTACATAATATTCTTGTTAGTTGTGAGACAATCGCTTGAATATTGTTATTCTCTTTGTTTTTCTGATTACACTTTAAGTTCTGGTGTGCATGTGCAGAACGTGCAGGTTTGTTACATAGGTATACACATGCCATAGTGGTTTGCTGCATCCATCACCCTGTCATCTATATTAGGTATTTCTCCTAATGCTAGCACCCAACCCCCAACAGGCCCCAGTATGTGATGTTCCCCTCCTTGTGTCCATGTGTTCTCATTGTTCGGCACCCACTTATGAGTGAGAACATCACGGTGTTTGGTTTTCTGTTCTTGTGTCAGTTTGCTCAGAATGATGGTTTCCAGCTTTATCCATGTCCCTGCAAAGGACATGAACTCATCCTTTTTTATGGCTGCATACTATTCCATTGTGTATATGTGCGACATTTTCTTTATCCAGTCTATCATTGATGGGCATTTGGGTTGATTTCAAGTCTTTCCTATTGTGAACAGTGCCACAATAAACATACATGTGCATTTGTCTTTATAATAGAATGATTTCTAATCCATTTGGTATATACCCAGTAATGGGACTGTTGGGTCAAATGGTATTTCTATTTCTAGATACTTGAGGAATTGCCACACAGTCTTCCACAATGGTTGAACTAATTTGCACTCCCACCTACAGTGTAAAAGCATTCCTCTTTCTCCACATCCTCTCCAGCATCTGTTGTCTCTTGATTTTATAATGATAGCATTTCTAACTGGCTGAAGATATTATTTCAATGTGGTTTGATCTGCATTTCTCTAATGACAAGTGATGATGAGCTTTTCTTCATATGTTTGTTGGCTGCCTACATTTCTTTTTTGAGAAGTGTCTGTTTATATCCTTCATCCACTTTTTGATGGGGTTGTTTGGTTTTTTTTCTTGTAAATTTGTTTAAGTTCTTTTTAGATTCTGGTTATTAACCTATTGTCCGATGGGTAGATTGCAAAAAAAATTTTCCCATTCTGTTAGTTGCCATTTCACTGTAATGATAGTTTCTTTTTCTGTACAGAAGCTCTTTAGTTTAATTAGATGCCATTTGTCAATTTTGCCTTTTGGATTTTGTTGCCACTGCTTTTGGTGTTTTAGTCATGAAGTCCTTGCCCACGCCATGTCCTGAATGGTATTACCTAGGTTTTCTTCTAGGGTTTTTATGGTGTTATGTCTTATGTTTAAATTTTTAATCCATCTTGAGTTAATTTTTGTATAAGGTGTAAGGAAGGCATGCAGTTTCAGCTTTCTGCATATGGCTAGCCAGTTTTCCCAATACCATTTATTAAATAGGGAATCCTTTCCCCAATGCTTGTTTTTGTCAGGTTTGTCAAAGATCAGATGGTTGTAGATGTGTGGCATTATTTATGAGGCCTCTGTTCTGTTCCATTGGTCTACATCTCTGTTTGGTTACCTGTACCATGCTGTTTTGATTACTGTAGCTTTATAGTATAGTTTGAAGTCAGGTAGTGTGAGGCCTCCAGCTTTGGTGTTTTTGTGGTTTTTTGTTTGTTTGTTTTGCTTTTTGTTTTTCTTAGGATTGTCTTGGCTATATGGGCTCTTTTTTGGTTCCATATGAAGTTTAAGGTGGTTTTTTCCAATTCTGTGAAGAAAGTCAATGGTACCTTGATGGCAATAGCATTGAATCTATAAATTAACTTGGGCAGTATGGCAATTTTCATGATATTGATTCTTCCTAACCATGAGCATGGAATATTTTTCCATCTGTTTGTGTCCTCTCTTATTTCCTTCAGCAGTGGTTTGTAGTTCTCCTTGAAGAGGTCCTTCACATCCCTTGTTAGTTGTATTCCTAGATATTGTATTCCCTTTGTGGCAATTGTGAATGGGAGTTCACTCATGATTTGACTCTCTGTTTGTCTGTTATTGTTGTATAGGAATGCTTGTGATTTTTGTACATTGATTTTGTATCCTGAGGCTTTGCTGAAGTTGCTTATCAGCTTAAGGAGATTTTGGGCTGAAATGATGGGGTCTTCTAAATACACAATCATGTCATCTGCAAATAGAGACAGTTTGACTCCCTCTTTTCCTAATTAAATACGCTTTATTTCTTTTTCTTGCCTAATTGCCCTAGCCAGAATTTCCAATACTGTGTTGAATAGGAGTAGTGGGAGGGGGCATCCTTGTCCTGTGCCAGTTTTCAAAGGAAATACTTCCAGTTTTTGCCCATTCAGTATGATACTGGCTGTAGGTTTGTCATACATAGCTCTTGTTATTTAGAGATACATTCCATTGATGGATTACATTTACAGATTTGTGGACGTTGAACCAGACTTGCATCCCAGCTTTGAAGCCGACTTGATTGTGATCAATAAGCTTTTTGATGTGCTGTTGGATTCAGTTTGCCAGTATTTTACTGAGGATTTTCACATCAATGTTTATCATGGATACTGGCCAGAAATTTCCTTTTTTAGTTGTGTCTCTGCAAGGTTTTGGTATCCGGATGATGTTGATCACATAAAATGAGTTAGGGAGGATTCCCTCTTTTTGTATTGTTTGGAATAGGTTCAGAAGGAATGATACCAACTTCTCTTTGTACCACTGGTGGAACTCAGCTGTGAATCCCATCTGGTCCTGGACTTTTTTTGGTTGGCAGGTTATTATTACTACCTCAATTTTAGACCTTGTTACTGGTCAATTCAGGGATTCAACTTCTTCCTGGTTTAAGCTTGGGAGGGTGTACATGTCTATGAATTTATCCAATTCTTCTTGATTTATTGGTTTATTTGCATAGAGGTGTTTGTAATATTCTCTGATGGTAGTTTGTATTTCTCATATATATTTTTTATTGTGTTTTAGGTTTTGGGGTACATGTGAATCCCCATGTTATCCATCCCCCACCCCCTGCTGTCCCTCCCCTAGTTCCTCCCCAACAAACCCCAGTGTGTGATGCTCTCCTCCTGGTGTCCATGTGTTCTCATGATTCAACACCCACCTATGAGTGAGAACATGTGGTGTTTGATTTTCTGTTCTTGTGTCAGTTTGCTGAGAATGATGGTTTCCAGGTTCATCCATGTCCCAACAAAGGACACGAACTCATCGTTTTTTATGGCTACACAATATTCTGTGGTGTATATGTGCCACATTTTCCCTGTTCAGTCTATCATTGATGGGCATTTGGGTTGATTCCAAGTCTTTGCTATTGTAAACAGTGCCTCAATGAACATTCGTGTGCATGCGTTCTTATAATAGAATGATTTATAATCCTTTGGATATATACCCAGTAGTGGGATTGCTGGGTCAAATGGAATGTCTATTTCTAGGTCCTTGAGGAATGGCCACACTGTCTTCCACAATGGTTGAACTAATTTACACTCCCACCAACAGTGTAAAAGTGTTCCTATTTCTCCACATCCTCTCCAGCATCTACTGTTTTCAGGATTTTTTAATGATCCCCATTCTAACTGGCATGAGATGGTATCTCAATGTAGTTTTGATTTGCATTTCTCTAATGACCAGTGATGATGAGCACTTTTTCCATATATTTGTTGGCCTCATATATGTCTTCTTTTGTAAAGTGTCTGTTCATATCCTTCGCCCACTTTTGAATAGGCTTATTTGTTTTCTTCTTGTAAATCTGTTTTAGTTCTTTGTAGATTCCGGATATTAGCCCTTTGTCAGATGGGTAGATTGCAAAAACTTTTTCCCATTCTGTTGGTTGCCGATTCACTCTAATGTACTTCTATGCAATCAGTGATGATATCCCCTCTATCATCTTTTATTGCATGTATTGGTTCTTCTCTCTTTTCTTATTAGTCTGGCTAGTGGTCTATTTTGTTGATCTTTTCAAAAAAACAGCCCCTGTATTTGTTGATTTTTTGGGTTTTTTTTTTTTTTTTTGGTCTCTATCTCCTTCAGTTCTGCTCTTACTTATTTCTTGTCTTCTGCTAACTTTTGAATTTGTTTGATCTTGTTCCTCTAGTTCTTATAATTATGACATTGGGGTGTTGATTTTAGATCTTTCTGCCTTTCTCTTGTGGGCATTTAGAGCTATAAATTTCCCTCTAGAAACTGCTTTAAATGTGTCCCAGAGATTCTGGTATGTTGTATCTTTGTTCTCATTGATTTCAAAGAACATCTTTATTTCTGCCTTTATTTCATTGGTTATCCAGTAGTCATTTAGGAGCAGGTTGTTCAGTTTCCATCTAGTTGTGTGGTTAACTCTTCTTGTTGCATTGATCCCTTTACCATTATGTAATGCCTTTGTCTCTTGTGATATTTGTTGGTTTAGAGTCTGTTTTATCAGAGACTGGGATTGCAACCCCTGCTTTTATTTGCTCTCCATTTGCTTGGTAAATCTTCCTCCATCCCTTTATTTAGAGCCTATGTGTGTCATTGCATGTGAGATGGGTCTCCTGAAAACAGCACACTGATGGATCTTGATTCCATATCCAATGTGCCAGTCTGTGTCTTTTGATTGGGGCATTTATCCCATTTGCATTTAAGGTTAATATTGTTGTGTGTGAATTTGATCCTGCCATTTTGATGTTAGCTGGTTGTTTTGCCCATTAGTTGATGCAGTTTCTTCATAGTGTCGATGATCTTTACAGTTTGGTATGTTTTTGCAGTGGATGGTAGTGGTTGTCCTTTCCACGTTTAGAGCTTCTTTCAGGAGCTCTTGTAAGGCAAGCCTTGTGGTGACAAAATCTCTCAGCAATTGCTTTTCCATAAAGGATTTAATTTCTGCTTCACATATGAAGCTTAGTTTGGCTGGATGTGAAATTCTGGGTTGAAAATTCTTTTCTTTAAGGATGTTGAATATTGGCCCCCACGCCACTCTCTTCTGGCTTGTAGGGTTTCTGCCAAGAGATCTGCTGTGAGTCTGATGGACTTCTCTTTGTGGGTAACGTGACCTTTGTCTCTGGCTGCCCTTAGCAATTTTTTCTTCATTTCAACTCTGGT